GCAACATAGCATCAATAGAGCTCCATTTTAAAAGCAACCAATTTCTAATTTGAAGAAGCTTTTTCCAGAACCATGAATCATTAGCCCTTGATTGAACCCTCGACATCAGCATGTTTTAAATAATGCCCTTGAAGCCATTTTAGACACAAAAGATCTTTCTTCATATGGATTGCCCATAAAGTCTTGATCGTGGCAACTGTATTCCATGCTCAACACAAACTAAACCAAGAACACTCCCATTCTTAGGCCTACACAATGTATTCCAGGAAAGCAAATGCAGCTTATGCTTGCCCTCTCTGCTACCCTAAACAAATCTGGAGCATATGCTATCAATCTTCTTAATGGTTCTCTTAGGCAGAATTAACATAACAGAGCAGTATGACTCCATTCTAAAAAGGACAGATTTTACCAATTCTAACCTTCCAGCATATGACAATTTATATGAACCTAGTGCCTTTTGCTAGCTTATCAAGCAATTCGTGGCAATGATCATGAGATATCCTTCCAACAGATAAGGGAACTCCAAGATATTTAACTGGCAAAGAGCCTTCAACAAAACCAATATGATTCAGTATATTAGCTCTTACCTCGTCAGAGACACCTGAAAGAAAGATACTGCTTTTTTGAGGGTTAACAACAAGTCCAGAGGTTAAAGAAAACTGATCCAATTTAGCCTTCAACATGCACATAAAGGTAGTATCAGCCCTTGCAAATGGCAACAAGTCATCAACAAAAATAAGATGGGAGATCATTTGAGGAATACATGTAGGGTGGGGATGAAATCCACTCCTATGTAGAGTAAGCAGATACCTAGAAAAGTAGTCCATACATATCACAAAGAGGTAGGGAGGTAGGGGGTCTCCATGTCTCAACCCTCTTTTAGAAAAAAATAGCCATGCATGCTCCCATCAAGCAAAATAGTTTACTTTACAGTAGATATACTCCATGATCCACCCACTAAATTATTCAGGAAAATTCAAACAGGAAAGGATGCTTCTCAAAAAATTTCAGTTCACAATATCATAAGCCTTCCTAATGTCCACCTTCATCATATCCCTAGGTGACATATTCTTCCTACCATAGTGACTCACCAGTTCATGGACAAGTAGGACATTACTGATAATAGATCTCCCCTTCACAAATGCAACTTGACTATCACAAATCAATAAAGGCATCGGGACTTGCAATCTGTGGGTGATGACTTTAGAAATCACTTTATATAATGTGTTGCAGCAGGATATTGGTCTGAAGTTAGAAACTAGTGGGATTAAGAACTTTGGAGACAAGAGTAATAGCTGTAGCATTCAAACCTCCATAAAGTAAGCCAGAATGGAAGAACTCCTTTACAGCAGCAGTAATATCATCATCCATAATAGACCAAGATTTTCTATAGAAGTCGGAAGAAAACCAATCAAGACTTGAGCCTTTACCAGTAGAAATGGAGTTAAAAGCTTTAAAAACCTCTTCATTTGTGACAGAGCAGAGCATGTTCTTCTGGTAATCATTCAATATGGCACCTCTAGCAATCACCACTGAATCAGCCTCTGATACCCAAGGCAATTCTGTTCCCAGCAAGCCTTTGTAAAAGCCAAGTATTTCATTCACAATTTGTTTAGAATCGGTGATTTTCTCCCTCCATCATCGTATAGACATAGCATGGCATGGTGCCCTTAGTATTTCATAAAAGAATGATAAAAAATTGAAATTTATATCCCTTTTATTGATCCAACTGAGTCTAGATTTTTGCCTATAGAAGTGCAATTCAGAAGTAGAAATCTTGACATATTCCTGTAAACAACTTTTCTTTTTTTGAATCAGGTCAGGATCAGTTGGACCAGATTGCAAAGCAGTTGGAGCCTCTTCAACTTGAGCTTTACTTCTATGGACTCTCTCACTAATATGCTCAAAATGTAGCTTATTGAGATATCTGAGTGTTCTTTTTAAAACTTTGTGCTTATAAAGAACTTGAGCCATTAAGGAACCAGTACATTCAGACTCCCAGCATGCTCTGACAAGAGGAAGAAAATCCTCCTGCAGTGTCCACGTATCAAAAAATCTGAAAAATCTGAACGACTTAAGACCCCCATAGGATTTTTTTCGTCAATTTAATAGCCCCTAGTGAGTGATCGGAAATGGTTGCAGGAAGAAAATCAACCACACAATCTTCACACAAATTCAGCCATGCATCATCAATAAAGACTTTATCTATCCTTGACCACACCCTATCATTAGCTCCTTGCCTATTAGTCCAAGTAAACCAACATCCAATATTCTTCTTGTGTGTGAGGCCACAACTATCAACACAATCCATCAAGTCTTGCAATTCAGAATCCGCAATAGGATAATTAGATAATTTCTCATTCTGAACAAAGATGTTGCTAGAATCACTCATTAGCATCCATGGTAGAGTAATAAAAGATCTCATATTTTTCAGATGTTCCCATAAGTATTGCCTTTGAGCAGGACAGTTAAGAGTCAGAAATCACAAAAATAACAAAATGAAATAGGCTATTAGAGACTTCACAATGAATATCCTGATCATTGGTGTGTAATATAGAGACATTCAAGAGAGTGGTGTTCCAAAGCAACCAAATTCTCCCATTTTCAGTATGAGTATAGTTACCACTCTAGCCCGAATTCTTAAAAAACTTATCCAAAACATTAGGAGCCTTATTCTCCTTTATTCTAGTTTCAAGTAAAGCAAAAAGGCAAAATATGCTATTATGTACAAATCTACTAATCAATTTTTGTTTGAGAGGCTTATTAAGACCCCTAACATTCTAGAGCCCCACCTCCATGGAAGATTAGCCTTGCAGCCTTACCATGCAGTCCATATAAATCTATCATATTAGTACTTTCATTTCCAACTAACACACTTCCATCGAGCTCAGGAGCAAGAGAACTAAAAGAATTAACATTTGATCCCCCTCACCCAGATATTGATTTATTATTGGAATTTGCTTTGCTTACACTTGGGCTAATATTTTCCTTCCCCTTACTCTGAGATCCATCACCATTTGGACTTGCTCCTTTACTAGTAGTTGTATATACAGAAGTGGAAGCTTGAGCATGCGGAACTCCAGGATCAGATACAACCAGAGGTTTCTTTAGGAACCCACTGCATAGACACTTTCTTCTTACCACAGTGATCATCATCTTGATCAAATCTTTTACAAGCATTACACCATTTGGGGTAGAATTCATAAACAACTACTTGCTGGAAAGCTCTGACCTTAGGGCCTCTGATCTCCGAACACTTGGGCAAAATCTTTGGCATAGTCACTTACACTGACACACGAGCATATGAGTCTCTCCATATTAGCAGTCATTTTATCAGTAGAGATTAGCCTACCCACCATGCTAGTAATTTTAGACAAAGCAAATGCATTCCATAAATTGAGACATAAACCAGGGAGTTGGATCCACATAGGAAAGGTCTTTGTATCAAATTTATCAAGATCAATATCATATGTCCATGGTCTCAACAAAATGGGTCTATTTCCATAAAACCAAGGACCCTTATCAATAGCTGCATTCTTGAGCTCCACAATATCAAATTTAAATAGAAAAACACCAGGTTTCAACAGCAAAACTTGTGGTACTGCAATATGTTTCCAATTTAATTGAACAAAATTCACCATAGCTGAATTCTTAACATCTAGTCCGATGTGTGTGTGTACATGTATGTGTGTATGTGTGTGTGTATGTGTGTATGTGTGTCTGTGTGTGTGTGTTGTGTGTGTGTTGTGTGTGTGTGCGCGCGCGCGTGTGCGTGCGTGCGCAATGCATATGCATATACATACATATATACATACATACATACACACACGTATGTATGTATGTATGTACACACACAAAACACACACACACACACAATACATACATACATACATACATACATGTATGTATATGTATGTATATATAAGTGTATATGTGTGTAATCATCGAAGTGAGCCAAGGTTAACCCTTCATCCCAATCTTCATCACTAATACTAAGAAATTCAGAAGTCGTAGAAGGAGAGTAGTTATAAGTCATACCTGATCCGGCCATACGATTATCAGGTAAAGCCTTCGCCAATCGCCATTGCCCATCACCTTATTCTGAGAAGTGTTTTGGTGAAGAATTTCGACTTCAGATTCACCTTGCTCAGCCGCTTCAGCCTCTTGTTGCTTATCAGCCTCTTGTTGTTTATCTGCATCTTCAACCTCTTGCGCTCGATTGGATTTAGAAGCACCGAGTTTTGTGTGTGTGTGTGTGTGGGGGGGGGGGGGATAGGCTAACTATCCAAATTATGAGCAGAAACTTCATCCCCAAGATTGTGGTCATTATCACAATTTCCAATAGAATCCCCAGTCAGAGATTTAATGTGAACTGGAAAAGATCAGATTGAGCTATAACCGTTGTCGAATCTAAATTTTACTCATTGGAACTCTCTTTTTAGCTCTCAGAGGTCCCGTGCTCTCCATCAAATTAGGGCTAGAAAAGCCCCGAAACCTTCCAAACTATTAGCAAAATGACCAGAAGAAGACCCTTCAGCTTGAAGTGAATCCCTTCAATTGTAGAGTAATAGATCCACTCTTCGTCGATGAATCCTTGCACTTTTCGCCATTAAACTAGGTGGGGGCGAACGTTAGATTATTCACGTTAACATGCACCTCGGGTGCATTCCCACCAGAAGTAGACCCAAAAAAGCTTATAATTAAGAAGGGGGAAAAAAGAAAGACAAATTCTAAGGATGATAAATTGAGTGATAGCGATTACTTCTCTGGCTCCCTAATCTCTCTTAATGTGCTCCTTAATTTCTGCATTCCCTATATTCCTCTTCCCTTTCCCTGTCCACCTACGTTACATAGCTGTGCGCCGAGGGATAAAATCTCTCGGAGTCTATGTATGCTGTTTGCTTTGCTATTGTTGTTTACGATTATATATACCAGTCACTAAGTTTGGTTTGAAATTTTGTGCATGTGCTAATACTAGCTTTCCTGCTTAATCAATCTAGTGCCAGGTACTTGCTGTTGCCTTACTGTTTTTCTGATGGAACTGTAATTCTGAAGCTAAATACCCTGCTCCTGGGTGGCAACATATTCTTCTTCCAGAGCTCAGTCTTCTTGGATTCTACATGTTCCCTTTTAGATGTTGTTGCACTTATCTGCAGGGTGAAAGACTATTATAATGGTACTTGGGGTGACAGTTATATTGGCTTGGGTTTCATGAAGCTTTTCCTTTAATGACTAGAGCTGTTGTTCCAGGGCTGAAGCCAAGATCTACATCTGGTGTTCCTCATGTTCATGTCTGTTGGATTCTTCATCGTGGTCATCCTCTAAGGCGCAGGGACTGATCGTATTTGCATCTCCTCTGATTGAATATGAAGTCACATACAGGTATAGGCCGAGGCTACATGTAGTTAGATTTTCTTTGTTCATTATTCTTGGGTTTGTTTTGTTTTGCATATTTATTCAGTTGTAAAAGTTTCTTCTTCATTTCTGACATCTGTTGGTCATCCCAAAAGTTTTATGAACTAAAGATTTATTTTTTGAGAAAGTATATGCTTTTAATAGGAAATGAGTGCATTAATTGGAAGTTAGAGTTTGCTCCTATGGAGGATAAAATTAGAGAGAATTGACTTAGATAGATTGAGCGGCCGCAACGATGATCGCTAAATGCACTAGGTTGAGGTGTGATAAAATTATAGTTAACAAGACAAGGAGAATTAAAGGTAGGTCTAAGAACTTGGTTAGAAATGACAAAGAAGGATAAGATAATGGTTAACATAACAAAATTAATAACTCTCAATGGAACCAAATGGAAGAATAAGTTTCATGTTTGCCGATTACAAAAATTTGAGATAAAAAGCTTTTTTTGTGCATAGTTGCTTCTCCATTTTTTCATCACACCCTTGTACAACATGTTAGAATGAAGTATGAACACCTGGATTATTAAGACACCACCTGTCTGCTACTTGTCATTTCTTGAATGCACCTTAGATCACCTGTTGAGGGGACAACTTTATAATGAAGATGATACATGTTGATGTTAAGTGATCACACAATCAATATGTATCCGTGTTTGGATGAGTTTGTTAAGGATCGATGAGGGGGTCGCTTTCTCCTATGAGTTTATATCTGGTTCTTGAGCTGGGTATCTGAAAAATTTGCACGTGTAGAAATTCATGAGAAGGCGGGGTTTGGCTCCCCTGTAGTACCTTCGACGATAAAGTTAGTTGAACTTGAGTAGGGTTCAATAAGAACTATAAGAGTTCTTGTGTGTGTGTCGTATGATTTGCAAAATTAGAGAATTTAGATTAGAATTCAGAATTAGGGATTCAACCCAAGTTAAAATAGTACATGTATTTATACAAAAGTTGTAATGGTATATTGGTCACTTCGACCGAGCACTGAGAGGCGGTGACGAAGTATGGACTGGCGGCTGTGTTAGCATTTGCTTTATATGTGTCGACCGATGATTGGGGGGAGGATCACTTCAACATTAAATGAGAAGTGAGTGGTGACAGGATGGTGTCCCACGTGGTCCGATGAGTCATGAAGACTATCGGGGCTATAGTCATGATGACACCTACCAAGCATTAAATATGATGTTGACATGTTGCTAGAGAGAGAAGCTTGAGGCGAAAATAGTCCATTAATTTCGTCGAGAAGTAATGCCTTTTGAGTCGTCTCCGTAAGGCATATGAATAAATGGTCGGGTGGACTCCTGGTGAGTCGTCTTTGGCAAGGAGGTCGACTAGTACCGTCTTTCGAGTCGACATGAAAAAGTATCGAATCGATGAGTCGGCTAAGTCAGAATCCTTGCTAGGCCTAGACCGCCCAGTTGATTGGGGCGCTATATGTGGAAATACACTTGTCCAGTGTTTGGTAATGAATTGCACTTTGGCGAAAATGAGAACACTATAACAGTTGACCCCTTTCGCTTGGAGTCGGTTTTAGCCGGGTTCGAGTGAAATACAATGAAAAATTATTTTGAACGGACATGGGTGCTTTGAATGAAAACTGAAAGTCACTTCAGAGGCGACATGACTGACGTCACCATACATCTTTTTTACTGTTACAACTTTGTTTTTTGGCAGATTGCGGTCTACCCTAGGTAAGTGGGCTGCACCTCGATCTCTGAGGGCTAGGGGTGCCAAACGGTTCGGATATATCCGAACCGATCCGTATCCGTATCCGAACGGATGCGGATATGGTAGGCTAATTTTAAAACCGGACGGATACGGTAACGGATACGGATATGGTTTCGGATTTTTTTCGGATACGGATTCGGTAACGGATATGAGGGTTGCGGATACGGATATCCGCAATGTAATAGTGATTCGGGTAATCGGGTCCCAAACTTGTAGTTACAAACCCGCTAACCCAAAACCAAAACTAAAAAGAAAAAAACCCTAGACACTCACCCTCACTCCCTCAGCCATCAAGCCGCCAGAGCTCTCTCCAGCCGTGCTCAAACTTCTCTTATTTGCCATTCGCCAGCGATCTCACTTGTTATAAGCCCGCTGATTTATCTCGTGGATTTTGCTTGTTATAAGCCCGCCGATGAGTTTAAGGTAACTTAATTTACTACTGGCTCCTGTTCTTGATGTTCGGTATTTTGTTCACGCATTTTGTGTGTGCTAACTTCTCGGCTGAGTTAAAGTTGGTTGTCAAGAATCTGTTGTTTGCCGTGCTCATATAGCTAGGTTTTAGCGTCCAATTCCAACTAACGTCGGTTGAACAGAGTAATTAAAGAGAGATATAATTAGGACGTAGGAATTATATGGCTCTTATCTGAAATAATCAGTCGTGAGTAATTATATGACTCCCACTATGGCACTATCGCTATAAAAACTCATGACAGCAAAAGACTTATTTCCTTTCTGATTGAAAGTATATTATAGGTACTATGCTTGAAGTTTTCTCTTAAAAAAACCTAGATCTTGCATATGTTAAACATAATATAAGGAAGTTTGCTAGCTATTAATTGTCTAAATATGATTGTTGTAGTTTGGTTACAATTCCTGACACTATTATTTTAGTTGGGTTGTGCTACTGAAGATTTTGGATGAAGATTATATGTCTAATAAATTTGTGCTCAATTTTAGTTTTCAATTGATGGTTTTGTATGAAGATTATATGTCTAATAGATTTATGTTGAATATCCGTTTATATCCGTGATCATATCCGATCCGATTCTCAAATATCCGAACCGTATCCGTTTCCGATAAATGCGGATATGGTTAAGGTTTTTTCTTACCGAGGGTGATCCGTATCCGTATCCGTATCCGTTTATAAAAAGCGGATATGGATATGGTAAACGTCATATCCGAACCGTATCCGCTTCGATAACACCCCTACTGAGGGCGCTTCGAATTCTGAAAATGAATCTTGGCCATTGGACATAGCTGGGTCTAACGGCTCGAATTTCGACAGCCCTAAAGTCACCTGTCTATATATAGGAATATAACCATAAGAGTGGCAACTATTGTCTTTTGAAATCTACTCCAGAGAATTTAAGTTCTTCTCCGTTCATCTTTTCCGGCGATAATTTATACAATCTCCGATGGCTTCTGACCCAGCTGATCGCCGAGCTCTCCTGGCAGGGATCCATGACCCTGCCACAGAAAAGGACAATCCTTAGGAGGTTCGATGTCCTTGAGGCATATGATCTGTTGGCTCCGACGAGGTTGGAGGCTATATATGACCATGGATTAGAACAGAGCCCGCTCTAAGGCATCTGGAGTATAGCCTGAGATTGCCCCTGCACCCCTTCCTCAAGCAGGTATTCGACGCACTAGGGGTATTGCCGGTGCAGACGAAGCCGAACGCCATTGCTATTCTGGTGGGGTTCGTGGTAATCTGCCATTGGCTAGGGATAAAACCCTCTTTGCCAGTTTTGGGATGGTTTGTGGTCGTGAAGATGAACCAGAATGAGCCCCATTTTCACTTTTAGATGGTGGGGAAGTTTAGGCTTGTTACCGGCCTTCTAAATTCACATAAGGACTAGAAGGAGAAATTCGTTAGGGTCATGGGGGATGACCTGGAGTTGGGCTGCGTCGACTGGCCTGAAATAAGGAGAGATGCTCTCATGGGGGATCAGCTGTCTATCGTCGAGAGGGATACACTTGATCAAATCAAAGCGTATGCTGGCTCTAGGCGAGTCAAAGATTTGCTTGACAAGTCGGTCTTGTGGGTCACCGGTGTGTCAGTCGTGCCTGCCACCGACCAAGATTATGATAGAGCCTTAGCTCTCATCATAGGGATAACAGAAACGGTACCGGCGCCTACTATTCCTTTGGCTGCTCCTCAGAAGGAGTCATCTGTTAGGCCGGCAAAGCGTCTTCGCTAAGACTATCCTCCAATGGAGGCCGAGGCAGCCGAGGAGCCTGCTTCCGCTCCCACTCTTGCCCAGGAGAGATGGTGGAACAGGTTACCTCAACAGCGGCCCAAATGGCTGAGGCTGACGTCGTCCATCTGGACGAGTCAGGGGTGAGTCGCCCTAGAGAACTGGTCGAGGCTCCTCTATGAGGAGGGAGCTGAGGCCAGAGGTTGCTGCAGATGAAGAATTATCCGGCCGACGCCGCTAGTCGACTCGCTGGGGCCTCTCGTTGGGCTGGAATATCCCTTTCCTCATAGGGTTGCCGACGTCGGAGAGGAAGAATGGGAGAAGATGAAGTACCTAATCGGACTTACCGGGGTCGGCGCTCAACATGGGCAAGAGCCCGAACCAGAGTACCGCTTCGAGCCCGAGCGTCGTCTCGACGTTCGGGGGACAATCCTCGGGTCTCGCCGGATTCAGTCGAGGACGGTTGAGTAGTTTTGACTTCCTCAAGATGAGGAGTATCTGCAAAGGGTTCCTGATAGTGGTCTTCACCATTGCCTCCGCAGCTACTTTATTCGAGGCACTCTGGTGGAGAATGAGTTATACGGTCGGATGAAGTGGGTTTGGACCACATACCCCAAGCTCATTGGGGAGGTTACTTCTCTGAGGGTCGGCCGAGGGGTGACTCGGAGCGGGCTGCTGAGACGTCGACCCCAAGTGCTCCCGAGGTTGATGGGCTCAGGCGGGAGCTACAAGAGAGTCAAAGGAAGGCCAGGAGGATGGAAGAAGCTCTTCGAGAGAGGAACCGCGCCGTGACGTTGGCCGAGATGGAGAAGGAGGTGGCGATGCGTGCAAAGCGTCAGCTGGACGAGGAGCATGCAACGCTTGCCAAGCTTCAAGAAGAGATCGCCCACCTTAAATCCGAATCTTATCGCTAGGAGATCATTGAGGGATATCACCAAAGCTTGACTCGAAAAACTGAAGTGGCGAGAGCCTGCAAAGCTAGGTATGATTACCTATCGGTGCAGCTCCTGGCCGAGATGAGGAACTCGCCCGATTGCTTTCACTATCCTCCTCTCGTAGCTAACTGTTTGGACGAGTTGAAGGAGGTGGAAGCACTTGGATGGGGACTTGATCTCGATGAGGAGGGGGAGTTAGACGAAGAGGAGGCTACTCGACTCCTCCGCCGACTGCTCCTAGCAGCTCCCTACCTTTGACTCTTGGTGCGGGAATGGACTTCTCTTAAGCCTCTTAGGAATCTTCCGTCCTTCTGGTTTTGTTGTATATATTGTATACTTTGCAGCTTGTAAGATACTTCATCAAATGAATGAAAAAACATTTTTTAACTTGAAATTGCTTTTTTATGTATCGCACAATCTTAATGTGTTTCTGAATGACTTGGATTCGTTATAGACTTAAAAACATCAACTGCTAACTCGAGAGAACTCGTCTGTTGTTGAGAAGACATGTCTCGAACTCGAGTAGTCATCTGATGTTTTAGTTCTTTGTCTAAGTATGGAATCAATTTAGTCGAATGTTCTGCTAGTCGTCGTCTGAACTTCGTGAGGCGAGTGCCTGGGAAATTCTCTTGAAGTCAACTATCGGTTGTCGAGGGTCAACTAGGGCATGGTCGACTGCTCGCTTAATAAATGTCGTTTAGTGAGTTTCTAGAAGCCTTTATTGAGCAGGTGAAACGTCACTGTTCGAAATGACATGATGCTTTGTCAGTTGTCAGAGATTAATGATGATGTTTCGATTTTTGAGCGAAGTGGCGTGGAGTAAAGGGGAGTGACGCTTCGAATTTCGTGAAAGACGTTTGAGATTTCGAGACGAATCTCGCCCGTTCATTTTGAAATGAGGCAACCGTCTAAATAACTCCACGTGTGCCTCTTGAACGCTATAAATAGCTCAGTGGGGAAGAGAATAACTCTTTACAGATTTCTACCCTAAGTCTTCAACGCTCTCTTCTCTTTAAACTTTCTCAAGTCCTTTGCAATCAAACGATCTTCCATGGTTTCTCAGATCATCGTTGCTGGCCGCAACGAGAAGAGAATCGCTCTCCTCCGGCCGATCCGCTTCAAAGTATGTGCTGAGGAGCTCGATAAATATTATGAGCTTTACGATATCCCAAAATCTTTCACACTAGCGGCGCCAGACAGAACTAAGCCGGTGTACCGTTGTGGCAACAATAGGGCGCCGCTGTACTTGACTCATCTTGATTATGGGCTCCGACTGCTGGTCAACCCCTTCATAGCGGAGTTGTGCGTCGCTCTAGGGGTTTCCCGTCTCAATTCACCCTAAATGCCATTGGGGTGTTGGTGGGTCATTGTCATCCGCTACCGGGTCGGTGTCGTGCCGACCAGGTGACTGCTCGGGCATCTGGTCAGCGTCAAGTCGACGAAGAGGGACCCACACTACTTCTTCCACTATAGTGGAAAATTTTAATTTGTAGCGGATGCTCCCGAGTCCAATAGGGACTAGAAGGAGCATTTTGTTTGGGTCTTCGATGCCGACAACGTGTTAGCATGCCCAAATTAGCCCGAAATAAATAAGGACGCGCTAAGGCTGTGACGCGCTAAGGCCGTGCGTCCTTATGCCCGGGAAAATGTGACAGTTGGAGAAGATCCGTCCTTATGTTTGGTTTCGGGAGTGGATCAACCTCTTCGACACAGTGTCTTTTAGGGTGGCGCTTGTTTCAATGGCCCCGCCCACTAAAGCCGATAAATTGAGGGAGAGTATGCTGGCCCTCCCCCTCGAAGAAAGCCACAAGGGGGAGGCGAGAGACGATGAGTCGGGCTGTCGCTAAGCCCCAAAAAAGGTTGAGGGGAAATCTCGCCCCTGAGTAGATCGCCGGCTTAAAGTCGCAGGTGGCCGAAATCGCCGTCTAACTGGCAAGGCGGAGAGTGAGAGCTAAGAAGTTGGCGGTCAAGAAGGGCCAAGGCTCGAGCAGGTCGACGGGCAGCCTCCAATTAGCTCGATTGAAGAGCAACAACAACAATCGACCGAAGAGCAGCCGTCCCCAGCGGTCGTTGTCATCGACGACCCCACCCCTTTTGTACCTGAGAAGGCGGCCCCAGTAGCTGAAGTTGCCGAAGCTGGATGGCCTCTGTAGAAGAGGCAGTCGAGCCGACTTCAGGGCTCGAGCCGTCCATCAGCCAGGCAAGGAGCCTGTTGGTCAGCAAGGGGTGTTGGGAACAAGCAACGCCCCTCAGGAATCTTGAGGCAGCGAAGCCTGTCACAGGAGTAGGAAGGCTTCTGGCCTTTCTCTCACTGGATCTCAGAGGTCAACTTCTAATCTTGGGAGGAGGCGAAGGCTATGCTGGCGGGAGTGCCGCTGGGGCCTTGATTGCCTAGGAGAGAACTCTTTGAGGGCGAAAGGTTCATCCCGCAGGCGTCTCTCGATAGGGAGACTTCAATTCTGGGGTCCTTAACGACCTCAGTCACAGCGGTGCGGCAATTTACCCTTTCGAAAGACGATGGATTTTTGAAGAGGATGCTAAGCTTTGGCTTGCATCTGGCCCTCAATGCCTACTTGGTTCGGGGGCTTCTGCTGGAGCAAGAGCTATACGAACGACTCCGGCACATGCATGATTCCCCGCAAGGGTGGCAAACAGAGCTAGTGAAGGAGAGGTCGGCTAAGGAAGAGACAGAAAAGAAGATCGATGCCTTGGAGGCCGAATTGAATGGCATCGAGCTTCGCTGGCGCCGAGAGGTGGATGTAAGGGACAAGGTCCTTAAAGGGCTTCGATCCCATAACGCTAAACAAGCAGCTTCGATCGCTAAGCTCCAGGGCGAGGTGGCCCAGCTGAAGGTGGAGGTCGGCCGTCTTCAGCAATGAATTTCCGAGCGAGACGACCGACTGACGACTCTTGTCAGGGAGGTCGAATCCGAGAGGCGCCTTGAGGTGGGGCGAGGAGGACGCTCAAGCGAGTCGTCTCTCGGTCAAGGTTTTAAATATCGGTTATCGGGCATTTATCGGACGGTCAAATTTCTTATCGGATAGCGAAAATCGGGGATATATCGGGGATAAGTAGTATTTATCGGAGTGATATACTGGATGGTGTATATATATAATATAATAATAAAAAATGTAATCTAACCATGCTTAATGAAATATAAACGTCAACGGAGGTGAGCTTCGAGGTCGGGAAGGCGGGCGACGTCAGCAGAGGTGAGCTTTGAGGTCGGGGAGGCGAGCGACGTCAGAGGACGTGAGCTTCAAGGTCGGGGAGGCGAGCGACGAGGTCAACGGAGTTAGAGGGAAACAGAGATCTAAAGTTCGA